GATTATGTATTTTCCAGGCACATAGTTAAATTCTATACCACAACTAAGTAACTATGTATCTTTAGTTGTTATTAAAAAGCTGTATATATAAAAAAAAACTAAATTTGAATTTGCATCATAGTCCACCTAATCACCTTGAAATTGGCCTCTGTCTCTTTAAGAACATCCTACCATTTCTGACATTCCCACTTTAGCATGTTTTCAAACAATGCTTCAGGGAGGGGTGCTCTCTGTTCGGAATCTAACTATGAGGAGGTTTTTGACTAATACGTCATCAAGTATTGAGGAAATTTGTGAGTCCATAAAAAAGAAGCAAAAAAATGTCAACCTTTTCCAGCATCTGTGTGGGAAAAAAAATACATGACAACTTAAATCTTAGTGGGGTTTAAACATACCACTACATCCCACAAAAGCTGGAACTCTATGATCATTAATCACATCATGATTTTTAACAATGTCTTTTTTACAGTCTTGGCAGAAGTAAACACGTAATACTTTATTGAAAGGAAGTTGCATGAGGCATGAAGACTGGGTTTTTGGTTTCAGGATGAAAGGGATGATGAAGACGGATTCTGTGTCCAGGTAGTCCGAACCCTGTAGCAACCACAAACCACAGACCTCCTGCAGTCGTGGCTCCATTAATCAAAGGCCTTGTTAGCAGTTTGGTGTTTGCTCATCAAAACAACTGTACAAAATCACAACACTGGCTTGATTTAGTTGTGATTTTTGTGCGATACAAGTCTTCGAGGCCTAGGCTTGTAATCAAACAGCAGATTCTTTCAGAAAATAAAAAGCAGGGTCCTGTTGTTGTGTGTGTGATGACATAAAAATGATTTACACTCATTAAAGTGAAAAACTAAAACTCTGCTGAATTCATTACCTTGATCATACGAGAGAGGTCCCCAGCATCCGCCAACTCTAGAACTATGTTGAGCTCATTGTCCTCAATAAAAGATGCATGGTACTTTATCACATTGGGGTGGTTCAGTTGCTGTTAACAAGAAAAAAAACTTGTTATTGAGGGGAAAAATATGCAGATAACAGAATAAATGTAGGTGACGCTTGTCATTTTGGCAACTTTACTTAAACTCCCCAGCTTCTTCAAGCTTTTATACCATTTTCAATACAAGATTATTATGCAAAACAAAAGTTAAATAAAGTGCAATCAACTGTAATTTTACCTTCAAGTCAAATAAAAATGTTTGAAATCATAAGTGCAACATATACTTTGGTACACGTGGACCTAATGAGACGGTTTTGTCCTCAAGGGTGACAAAGCTGGGTGACATGTCACAACAAACCTCTGTCGGAGATGACAACAGCACATGTGCGACACACAAACACACACACACACACACACACATGTGACAGGCTGACATGTCTGGCAGTCAAAAAAACAAGCATTCCAGGCTCATCTCTAGTGGAGATTCCTTCCTATTGGTTGGTCAATAAGGCAGGAACAGTGATCCTCGTAGTAAACAAAAAGTTTCTTTCCACCCAGAGGAAGAGATTGGGGGTGGGGGTGGGATGAAGGAAAAGAAACAAATGACACAGTGACATGGAAAAGGAATGGAGACAGGACAAAGTGAAGGAGGTAGGGAAAGAGAACAAAGGCGAGAATAGAAAACAGAACGGGAGAAGGATAAGGTAAGCTGAGCTAGAAAAAAACGGGGGGGAAGGGAAAGAGGAGAGATGGTGATGTGTGGATAGTTGGAGCTGTGATGCGAGCAGACGGAGGGGTGTGACACGCGTCCTCCGCTTGGCACTGCTATGCCTTCTCTGCTGTGATTAAAGAAATGTTCATGCTCTGGATGATGCCGAGAAGAGGGGGAAAGGAGAGCACAGTCGAGTACACTACGCTACACTACACTCTCCACTCCATGTCTGCATCCTTCTGCAATCCCCTTCCTCATTCGCTCTGTGGATCTTCCTCATGTCTCCATCTTTCCTTCTCCCTCCCTTGTCCTTTCTTGCCAGATGTATTTTTGGCTCAGAGTGGCAGTTCTGCACAGCTCCACACGGTAGCACAGCCAAAGAGCGATGACAAGTCCCCCCCCGCCCACCCCACCCCCTCCGCAACCCACTGCTCTTCCACAACTTAGACCTCAGGCGAAAGATTCAGAGGAATGAAGAGATATGTTAACATGCAGATGTTTATGTAAATGATGGATGGGTCCCTGCTGCAATACAACAATCATTCATAGGCAAATTTCACATAGAGTCTTGCATGATTATGTAATTACACATGCTGGCTGAGACCCAACAGACTGTGTAATTACTTAATCATGCAAGACTATGTGATACATTTGTTTAGCTGGTGATAAGTTTCAAAGCAGAAGAAGACAGACTAATACAACCTGATGGAACAAAACAAGGCATGCTAGAAAATTAAGGTATGGTGAATGTATACATGGTTTATTTGTTAAAATGAAAAACACATAAGCATCCAGTAATAGTATGAATCCTACGAGGTCAGAAGAAAGAAGCAGAAACCAACCTTAAGAGTTATTGCTCTGTAGAAAATAATTCTTTATGTTGCATGACATTTTTCAAGCAGCATTAGAAGCAAAAACAATAAATTTCTTTTGTAAATTCAAATACAGACTGAATGTCTCAAACATACAACGACCTAAAGATGAAGCCTCTGAATATGTTGCGTGTGTGTTAGGTTAAATGAAGCTGGTTATTGTCAGCTCTCCGTCCTTCCAGTAAACCACGGCTACAACCTAATCAGCTGCAAAACCCAGACATGCATGTAAACCCAGACAGGTACACACACATTTACACACACATCACACAGCATACAGAAGCAATATCGTTGCAACTTTTCACTACTGATTAGTAGAGATCATTCAWCAGAAAACAACCCAGGCATCATAAACAAAAACACAAATAAAAGGAGCACTGTGAGGTTTCAGAAAGGGGAAAGTCAGGGCAGAACGGCACGTGGAAAACCCATTTCTGCAAGGAACAACTCTATCAACGTGAATTTAGACAAAAAGGAGGAGGTGAGAAGAGAAATTCTCAAGCTGAAATCATCACGCCAAAGCAAGGAAATACAGATGAATGAACAGACGTAAACACAGGCAGACAAACAAACAAATAGGCATGCTGTTGAATGGCCATGACTGAGTGTGTGTGTGTCTCTGATCACAGGCGACTATGTGTGTCATTCCAGTCGTCTCATGCCAGTGTGCGTCTCATTATTCTGATTTTGCTGTGTCTCCTGTTGGCCTGTCTAGTTGCGGATAAGGCAGAAGGACCGTCTCTCTCTCTCTCTCTCTCTCACGTTCAGTCGTTTATTATCAGGCTGGCTGGGCAGTGCAGTGCCAGGCATAGCTTCTACGTTCACTAGCAATCAAGCTTGCAGGGGGGAAAAACACAAAGAAAAGCTCTGAGCAGGGTAAATGAGGGAAAGGGTTGAAGACAGAGGAGAGATGGATATAAAATCATAGCAAATAGTCAAAAAGAAATAGAGAGAGATGAAGGAAGAAGTAGAGGAGGAAWGAAAGTCGTATAAAAGGGAATAATAGAAGGTATCCATACTGACTGGGAATAAAAGAAATGTAGCAGGAATGAAAAGCAGTAAACTGCCAGTGACATTTAACCCTGCCCTGACCCCCTTTATAGGTCAGATTTACAGTTCTGGCAACCCTSCTGCCTCATGCCGTCACGTCAATGATCGACTGCTCAAATTAACGCTCTCTACAGGGTGCTGTCTGCGTCGGAGTGTCTTTGTCTTTGATTGGTTCATCCAACCCGGGGAGCTCCAATGAAGTGCCTGAGTGACACAACTTAATTGCTTTAGTTTTCTTTTTACCTTTAATGTGTACATGTGAGCGTGCAGACAGAAATGCTGCATGGGGGAGAATACTAAAAAAAAAACACAGATCTCTGACATACATCTAGGATCTTTCAAACAGGTAGAAATATTGAAACTGTCATTGGTTTGTTCATTAGCATTTAAGCAGCCTAGTTGACACATGTTAAATGTAGTTTAACAAATAAAACCACTTCAATGAAAAAAAGAGAATAGGAAAAAAAAAAGCAACACAAGAATAAAAGGAAAGAAGAGACACATGAGAGATGCTGCTTAAATTTCCATGCTGGTGCACTGTTGCTTGGTTTTAAACATTTTAAAGAAGACTTGAGAGAGAAAAAAGAAGCCATACTTCAGGCATTTAACAGGAGCCAATGGGAGCCTGGAGGGATGTAAAACTGCAGTATCCACACACAAACACAGAAATACGCACATACTGTATAGTCACACATGCATACTCATTCATATTCTCATTTGTGTGCACACAACAGCTTCGTGCATTTGTATCAACTCAAGGAAATGCACACACACACACACACACACACACACACACACACACACACACACACACAC